TACTGCTGCAAATCCCGTAAATAGTAGAGTCAGCAGAATCAGCTGGAAATACCGCGCGACGACTGTCAAGTGCGGCAACTTCTACGCCTAGCCCGTAGCCCCGCCTGATCTGACTTCGATATGGACTGTACGCAAGGTCGTCAGATCAATAAGCTTGAAATAAGATGACAGCTTCATGCGTTTTCTTCCATGAAGTCGGCGTTCATTGCGCGGATTCAGATTTTATGAATGCAGCCCCCGAGACCTCCAAGCTCCAGGAGGCGAATCTAATGAAACGTTAGTCGTACATTGTACTCCAAGCAAATTTAGTGCAATGCCAAGGTTCGTAATATTCGTCGTATCGTGGTCACTTCATTCGACAGATTTTGCTTTGCTGAGGTCATATGTAGCAGATACTTTTCCTGGTTCTGCCAAAATTTATTCGAACGTCCAAATTGGTTGCCTTTCTCATAGTGGAGCAATACGACGCGTTTGATCGATAAATAATTATGAATGTCCTTCGGCGAAGGAAAGATGATAAACCGGAGCACAATTTCAGGAAATTCGTCGTACACCGACAGAAGCCACATAGATCATGCTGTAAGCTGGTTCAGAAGTCTGGACAGCAGTGAGCTTTGCGCGATTTCTTAAGCCTCTTGCAGCAGTCTCGAACCAAATTCTTCTAAACAAGTACAACATTTTTGGACGAGCAGTTCGCAGCACGAGATGTCGTCTGGAAATGAAATGTTCATAATTTTTCCGTGGTGTCCTATCATTTTACATTGCACTGTGGTCTGCCTGAATGGGTTCTTTGCCCAATCCACGTTACAAGGCCGTTGCCACACTTTGCGAATGGAGCAATTTGCTAGGACTTTGCTGATTCGCTAATAACGAATCGCACGATTCGCAAAGTCTGACAACGGCCCCTCAGCCAGGGTCAACCGTCACGTTGGACCGATTTCAAGATTTTGACGACCCTCCCCCTTCTTTGGAGAGTCTCCAAAGCTAACAGTATGGGAAATAAGTGCAATTTACAAAAAATCTAAAGACACATTGGCTTGAATTCAGACGAGCTCTAGTTTCCTGATATCCGGTAATTTACTAATGCATAACATCGCAAAACGAACTGCCTTCATTAGTTGCTAACAGTACTGCCCTTTAGTTCGAATGGCGCTTTGCCTGCCTTTCATGAATGGGCGTTCAGAATCACAAAAAATTTCCATTTCGATATGCAAGCGCATATCAAACGAGTGCATGGCGCATCTCAGAGCATGAGAGTATACAGCAGAAGTGTCCGATTGGAGCACGGGAGCGTTGCGTTCGCATTGGCGCGCGCAATCTTCCCCTCGGCGCAGCGCGGGCAGCGAGAAACAGACTATTGACTTTCAAATAAGCGTAATTTTGTTCAATATCAATATTTCTTAAAACGCTAAGTAGATTTGTAATCTACAAAACTGCTTGTTTCAGAAGGTAACCACGATTATGCCTTATCTTCAAAACTACGTCAGTTATGGGGTAGAGAACAAAGAATTCACAGAAATGCGCACTTCTCCTTTGAAAGGTTGTAACTTTCTTCAAAGAAGGAATTATGAGGAGCGGTAAGAAAAATTGGAAAGCTCAGACTGTTTTCTTTCTAAAAAGTGCTCAAGCTTTCGCAAAAACTCTTTCCTTCAAAAATCGCCCCGTTGGACCGTTTTTTTTCATGAATTTTCGGCTACTCTCCTGAAAACACGGGTTTTCAACACTTAAACACTGACAACTCTCTTCAAACTCAATTTTATCGGGAATTATGATACCGTGACATCGCACGAGCTCTTGTGCTTCATTACAGATGCTAAACCCATTTCAAGAAGTTGCCGACAGGCAAATATTTTTGTTCCCAAACTTTTCTTGTAGCCCTTTAGCAGTCAATCTACCAAAGAGGTCACTCTTTTATTAACTTAGGTCCAGTTTGAAGGCATTGGTTCACCTCTAGAATTATATTTGTGTACGTGCGCAGTCAAATATGGATACTTTCGCAGGAGACTCTTCTGCTGTGATGTGCGCCATGCACTCTTTTGTGCGTAATAGTTGAAGAAGCACTCAAAAGTTTCACCTCTCCCCTATTGTTGCGAGAACTAACGCTTTATTCTAG